GATCCAAATTATGAATGACACCCAATTATAGGTGTCACACTATTTCCCTCAGCAGCACTCATTCCAAGATCTGTAAATCCTCAGACACACAACAAACCCTCCATAGGATACAAATATTGAATTTCATCTAATGGGCTCTTAGAAATTCATTATTGTTGGGATATATAAAATCTTATAATTGCATGATTATAATGTTACATTTTTAATAGTGACTCTATATAAATGAATACAAAAATACATAATTTAAGTTTTCAGTAAACTATCTCTGACTAACTCACTATTGACACACCACAAGACCCCTCAGCAAAGTGATCATTTAAGATTTATTTTTTTAAAGCTCCATTGAATAAAAGGTCAAAATCAGATCAGTTGTGGGCCACATAAACGGTTTGTGTTCTCAGCTTGTACTTGGATTTGTAAGATGCAGGTAGAGGGGAGGCCGGGGGTCTCGGCTCAATGCAGACCTTGACATAAAGTGCATTAAGTTGCCTGATCTCTCTCAAACCGTTTGATTAATTCACTCCCATTCAAGACCAAGCGAGCAAGGACTAGGAGTGGAGGGACGTGACCAATGACATAATGGGGTCTGTCAAGCAGCCTTGCAAAACGCCCAGACCATTTGTGGTGACAATCCTGATGCCATCAGTTCCATTATAGACCCCCATTCAGCCCAGAAACAAACATAGCTTTACTCCCAAAAAGGGAAAAGTCAGCTTTCGGTGTCAATAGATTTTGGCTCAAGGCTCATTGTGGGCATCTGATTCCCTCCAGCCTTAAAACAACATGCTTGTTTTAAAACAATAAAAAAAGACATGAATGCACCCTCTAAGAAAATAGCTGTGATTATATTTGTTGTGTTTATAATGTTTTAGTATTTTTAATTAGGACATTTCACGAAAAAACACTTTCATTTGAAAAGAAACAAAAGGCTGCCCTTTGCTGATAATGCATTTATATTGCCATTAACATATTGTTTGTGCACACTTCTCCTGTTAAAGGATGTTCATTGTCTTAAGATTTAACTCTTCACATCCCGAAACCTACAGGAAGCTCCTTCCCTTTGTCCTGAATTCACTCCTGAGATAATCGCATCAATCAGAAGCCAGTGTGCAGAGACAAGTGTGGAGTAAAGGAAAGATCATGGAGATTCTCAAAGATTAATATAGAAGGAGTTATGAGTCTTAACACACATTAAAGACTTTAAAGTAGAATAAGGGAAATGTAGCATCAGATGCTTTGTACAGCAGAGCCTCCTCCATGAGATGGATGCCTTGCATGCTGGAAAAAAGCTTAGGATGAAAGCTGAGAGGCCGAAAGAAGAGCCTCTGGTCACTGCATGCATATAACACCAATGTTAGAGGGGTAGCATTCTGCAAGAAAACTCCTCTGAAATGTGTGATATGTTGCTTAAATAAACGGGGAATTACTAGTTGTCAATCTCCCATAACATGGCCAAATACTAAGATTCAACATGCATGACAAGTGTTGTCATTTGGGTATTTATGACAGCAGCAAACATGGTCAATTGAGTCTCTCTAAACCTTTTGGAAAATGTTGCATGATCAGATATTTAAATGTGCTGAAGATTGAAATTGAGATATGGTCATCAGTGGTCATCAATGTTATTATTATTATTATTATTATTATTATTATCATTATTATTATTATTATTATTATCACATTTGAATAAAAACAAATACTTCAGTGTTCTTTTGCTTGAAGATATCAACCAAAATGTACACATGAGCTGCATGCTGCAATAACCCGAGAGCCATAGAGAAGAACATATGACTAGTAAGAGTATTATTATCTGACAAGAGAAGACTATAATCTCGCAATTTCATTTTATGGTTTTGCAAATAGTAGAAGTAAAAATGCATCAAAGCAAAATGTGCGGAATCAACTGAGAGGCAATGACACATTTTAAAACACTTATCAGAGCAGAAAGCACCACTTGGTTGTTCTTTATATTTTATACTAATCGGAATATAAAATATAGCGTACGAGTAAAATGCTTTTTTTGTTGTATTTCTCTGTAAATCAAGGGGGGGTTCTCTCCATCATGAAGTGTGAAACGCCTTCCTTAGATCAGCCGACAACGAGATAATAGGCAGGGAAGTCTGTAGTCTCTGTATTGTTGCTTTAACCAGTTTGAGGGAAATGCACCGTGTCCTTCTTTCCCTCCCCATCAAACCTCCTCCTCGCTTGTCCCGATTTTCCTCCCTTACCACTCCCTGTTTGTTTTGGGCCGAATGGATCCAAACACGGAGATATTGAGCGATTACCAGCGCATTCCTGTCAGGACACACCGAGTTTCATCTCTCTGAGAAAGCTTTGGTGTGTCACTCACTGCCTGCTCCTTTCTTTCTTCCTTTATTCTCAGAGCTTCGAATGAAAGGTTTAAATACAGTTGTTAGAATGAAGTGAGTGTAGGTTTAACAGCGCATTGTTTACGTGCGTAAAAAGGTCGTTGTACGTAAGAAAATACAAATATTATTAAGCTTATTCTCGCAGTAGTCAAAATATTCGCGGTGTTCAATATTAAAATAATAATACGAATAAGGATAACACATCAGCAGCAATAATAATAATAATTATGTTATAAAGTTGACAAAATGTAATATATTAAAAATGTATTATCCTCTGACATCCTAATGTCCTTCCTTTATTTTTTCACTTTATTATTATATAATAACCCGTAAATATGTTTTTTATTTGGCTTTCGTTTTCGCTTTTGATGTATTTCATTTTCCCTATTATTTTTTATTTTAAATAAACAGTCATTCATCCTGTAGGTGAATAACTGGCGCAGAAACCTGTCTTTGTGTTAGACCGATGCAAAGAGGAGGGGAACATTGCGAAACTGCTCCAATATACTGTAAAAAAAAAAAAAAAACTATTTTTGTATGTGGGTTATCCTATAAATAAAATGTTCAACACTGTATATTACTTTTATGATCTGTAGGCTCCTTTACACGCTAGCTAAGATACACAACTATATTTATTTTCAAGAAACCAACAACATAGTTTTAATTTGATACTTTAAAAAGCAATTACACATCAGAATAAGTCCTGATAAGTTGTTAATACGGCTCTGGCACACATGTTGTTTGCATCACTGTAACATCCCTTTACTCTTCAATATACTATATATTCATATTTGAGTCTTCATCGACACATTTCTCTCCCATAACGTGTCTCAGGATATCAAAGTTGTTCCTCAGAAGCCTGGAGAAATTAAAACTCGGGCAGAAAATGTTGTCTCATTTAAATTCTCACCTTCAGCTCTCTGGTGACTGGTAACGGTCCGAGAGGAGCTGACGCTTAAAAATCATCAAGATATTATCACTGTACGCTGCCTGTTTAACGAGTTCTGTCATGCCTGGCACATTAAGACATTGTAAAGAGAAAAGCAGAATATAGAGACAATCTTTCTTGCAGTAGGCAGATCAATTAAACATAGAAAATGCATGCAAGGCAGGGCGCTGCAGCCTTACTTACTCTGTGCTCTGCTGAGGCTCCGCAGTTTAATTACAAGCCCTAATTCCCAATCGCAGATAGTGTCAAAAAGTCTGCGACTATTTCTCAGAGATTCCCTTTAACAAGTGGAAACTTAGTGTCCTCCTGCACCATTTTATACATGATGAGCCGTCAGTAATGGGATTATTAAACAAAAACGTTTCAGGCGCTGGCGTTAACCTTTTTTAATGCCTAATTAGGTTTTGCAAAGAAATAATTAGATTCTACAGTGCTTACACTGCCTATATTTTCAAATGGCATCTACAGCAAACACATCATCCTGCGACACTGGTGCCAATAATCTGCGGGTATATGCGCTGCGGCAGCAGTCAGATGTAAGATTTTAAAACATGTTGCGACCAAATAAGGTGCTCTTAAAGCTAAAATAATCATCCAACACAGGCTATAAGAAATCAGCAGACAAACCATAGGCTGGTCGAGTCCGCCCTCTGGTGGACAACACGCAACATAACATTCACATTGACCAGTAAATCATTTTTAATAAATAAGTATTCGACACATTTGTTATGTTAAGTGTCTCCTGAAATTCAGAAAAGAGCATTTTTTTTAATCCAGAAAGTAGGTTACATAAACAGTATGTGCTCTAAACATGAGGGCGTTGACCACTACACATGCGCACTTACAGGTTTTCCCCTGAGCTGTGATCCATGATGCTCAACATACAATGTAAATCTGTGATAAAGTTGATTAAACTTTATGTCATCTGATCAGGAGTGTTTTCTTTAAAAAGACACGTATAGTTATCTGTCATATAGTTATGTACATGTGTCCAATTTTTTAATTAGTGTCTGATCGTGATTTTAGTAGGATTTCTAACTGATACTCAAATTATATTGCAAAATTGTGACGTTATCATTTCAAAAGAAGGGAGATAAACAAAAATCATTGCTTCACTTGCTGCTCAAACACTTTCAAACATGTGGGAAAATGTCTATAAATAGGTACGTTTGTGGTTTTTCTATACAGTAATTGAATGTTGCTAGGCTATTTTTTCCTAAAATGATGAGCACATAGAGATGTAATCTGAGTATATGTTAGAAATACATAGTAATCTATCAGACACTAATCTGCGAATGCATAAACTGGGCCACTGGTTTGAAACTCTCTTTCTTTACAGACAAAACATTAAAATTGAAAACAATGTATTCCATTTGGAAACACCCAAACAACAAAACAGTCTTATAGCAAATTATGGATATTAAACTGTAATATGTGTCTTTTTTAGGTACAGCAAATGGTTAGTTATGTCACACTTATAAGACATAATGGTTTAACAGTTCATTTTTTTAAATATGTAGAACATTGTATTGGCACATGATTGTCCAATGCTGTCAGAACTAAGAGCAGAAAGAAGAGCAGTTCACAGTGTTACCACTAGAGGGGAGTGTTGTCGGTGTCGGTGATCCGGAACGCTCCTTCTAAAATATCGCGAGAATCACGTTTCCTCTTCGCTTCAGAAGGTCAGCTGATCATTTACCTCAGTGACTAGCAGCCTGTCAATTTCAAGCTAGCACGCAACGTAACGGTTCTACTCTGAATCACTGGTAAGCTGTCCACTTTATAACTGGCATATATATATTATCAAAGAGTTGTATTCCTTCTCTACTAGCTCATTTAAACTGCCTACGTTGACCATCGTATTAAGGGCTATCGATGTAACTAGTGGAGGGTTAGCTTATATGCTAGTAACGATGGTAACACACAGCGAATATTCTAGAGCCACCTGCCGCTAACATTAGCATTAGCATTGATAAACCACCGAAAATAGTCTTTATTGTATGTTTACACCAATTTGTTTGGGCTTATTCATTTTCATCAGCAGCATAAGCAACTGTTACAATAATTTACATTTGTTTCGGTGCTTCATATAATAATGTAGTCATTACTTATCCAAACTAGAGAAGGCTAGGTGGGCTAACCTAGCTAGCGTTAAGTCTTTCATTTCAGTTTTAGCCTATATTGACATAGATAATAGTAGTTATTTTTGAGTGCGGGTTTTCCTGTGACTGTTGGTCCCACACAGATGAATGATTTCACCGTGAGGGACATGGTGTCTTTCATTTTGCTTAGCTAAAAAAACACAGTGGGGGAGGAAGTATTCAATACCACACCAAAAAAATACTGATTTTCCAGTAAAAGTCCTGCAATTAACAATAGGTCAATACCACACAGTAAAACCATGCATTGAACATAATACTTAATGTAATATAAAAGTATGTAGGGTAATTATAATCAGGAATATAGCTATTTAGAGTTAAAAAGTGAAAGGATTCCCTGTGAGTGGTATGTTGCATGATTGTCTATACAAATCGCAATTTAGGATGTACTTGGTAACTATAGCTGTCAGATCAATGATGTGAAGTCAAAAGTAAATGATACCCCTGAAACAAAGAGAAGTGCATAGTTTTGGAATATCTTTTTGTGTTCATTTCCTGCAGAATTAATAGGCTGACTTGTCAAAAAAGACTCATTGTTAATAGCAGTTCTGGGAGGGGATTATAAGCAGTAAGTTACGTGACCCCTGCTGGCAGTCAGTATTGCTTCATGGTGTTACTTTTTTCCCAACAGAGCAACCCACAATCCCAAAGATGGCTGACACCAACGAACAAAGTCCTCCTCCTCCTCCTCCACAGCTAGGGCCTGTGGTAAGTTTGTCTGTTTGATCTAACCCTTCAACTATTAGTCCCTTTGTAAGGTGTTCTGATTCCACGTACAAAGATACTACTGAGCCTACTAACTAGCCCCTAACCACTTTACAGAGTCACCCAAACTGTCAGTAACCCTTACAGCTTTATTACATTGTTAATAATGTAAATTAAGCATTCATAGTTTTTTAATAATAGATTATTTGTGTTAATGACTTACACAATGAAAATGAAAAAATAATAGGTATTAGCACTGCATCATTTTTGCACAGAAATGAATGTTGCTGAAATATTTCTAGCGCTGCAACGATGAAATCCTCAACCATTTCAGTAATCATAATTAGTTAATTGTTTAGGGCTTTTCTTCAATTATAAATTGTAAGAAATTCAACAGAAACGTCTTTAACGTGATTTATTTTATGAAATGAAACTGCAAAGTTGCCTCTTTTCTCCTGACATGTGATCAGAAGGCAGGACAATTAGCTGCGATATTGAACTAAGTTGTTTTTGAGTTGAGCTTGGCTTTGCTGACCAATGAGGGAGCATGAGGGGAGGTCTGAGCCTTTCAGTAAAACTCTTTTCAGTAAACGTGAGGCAACAGAAAACCTTCCTGTCACCTGGATATCCCAGTACTTTGCTTCAAGCACATGTAACACTGTACACCATCTACCCATGATCTTATATCATAAGTGATGGAGCAGGTTATTCATTCAGCGTTAATCCTAAATGTATCTTTTCTCTCTTCCACAGCAATTTTTAATGAGTAACAAGCTAGAAACTGCAATGTGGCTTTCACGGCTCTTCACTGTCTACTGCTCCGTAATGTTTATTCTACCGATTTTAGGGTGAGTACATTCAGTGACCGAGCACATCATCAACACACTGCTTTCACCTATTCTCCTTTCTCCCAGCCTGAATTTGTGTCAGACTTGTTGTGACTGATTGTTTGTTTCAGACCCTATGCAGCAGCTAACTTCTATCAGCGAGCTTTGTTAGCGAACGCCCTCACCAGTGCCCTACGCTTACATCAAAGGCTTCCACGCTTTCAGCTGAGCAGAGCCTTCCTGGCCCAGGCTCTTCAGGAGGACAGCTGTCATTACCTGCTCTACTCACTCATCCTGGTCAACTCCCACCCCATCACAAGTATCCTTTACCCTTCAAACATGGGGAAAAGACAGCTGGATAGTGCTGGGTATAATGTTGAGATTCTCCATTCATCTGTTTTTAACAAGGGTGCATTTAGAGTTTCTTATTAGTCCCATGATTTAGATCAGTGGTGGGGGGCGCCAGAGAGCTTCAGGGGAGGCGCAGCGTGAGGAAAAAAATAACGAGAATTTCCGCTAGTTAACTTCAGCTAACTTTATGCGAGCGGCAACATGGACCGATTTTTAGTGAAGTTACCTAAAGTGAGAGAGGAGACAGCGTCTGGCAGAAAACGTTCCTTGGCTGTCTGTGGAGACCGAGTTCCCCCACCTCGCCAAAAAGGCTGTATAAGTGCTCATTCCCTTCACCTCCGCCTACCTGTGTGAGTGCAGGTTTTCCGCATTGACTTTGATCAAAAGCAAGTACCGGTCAAGCAGTTGCGGATCTACCGGGGTGATAGCCTTGCCACCCCAGCTGCCACCTTTGTTTTGAAATAAAAGTTGTGGCTCATCGGACATTTATGAGAGAAAATCTCTAATGTCCGAGTGCAAGTGAATGCAGCACGACATTAGAGATTTTCTCTCATAAATGTCCGATGAGCCACAACTTTTATTTCAAAACAAAGGTGGCAGCTGGGGTGGCNTGATGCTTTGGCAACATTGTTTAATTTAACTTTCATGCCAATAAAGCCCCTTTGAATTGAATTGAAGAGAAAGAGAGCGAGAGAGAGAGAGAGAGAGAGAAAAAGAGAGCGCTTCAGCTCATTTCTGTTATGATCCAAAAAAAAATTATCCAAAGTTAATGTAAACTTGAATAATGTACTTCATTTGAATGTAATAATTATGTTGGTTGTTGTTTGTGGAAGCGTCAGTGAATGAGCCCCATTAACTGAGTTTTAAACATTACTTTAAATGGAAGATCCCCATAGGCCCCGCCCACTCGATCGGATCGGCCGATACTGATTCCGGTAGATCGGCCCCAAAATTGGTGATCGGAGCATCCCTACTCTTATGTACATTGCCTTGTGTTTTTTATGCTGCTGCAACGCAAACATTTCCCAAATTGCGATCAATAAAGTACATATCTATCTATCCATCCATCCATCTATCTATCTATCTATCCATCTATCTATCTATCTATCTATAAAACATCAGACAAAATTAAGAATTACGCAGTCTTTACAGAGTGAGTAAAATACAAGCAGCAGCAGAGCTCTTTAATTAAATTATGAATTATCCTCGAGCAATGTCATAAACGGCTTCCACACCTTAATGAAGCAATCCTGTGAATCAGTCTGTTAGAGCGAGTTTGCTCCATCCTAGCAGAGGGAATCATTTCGGATAGCCACCTCCTGAAGCACGGGGGATTTCCTACCTGTTTTAATATTTCGGTAATGCCTGCTTTGCTTTTTTTCAACTTTCCCACTTGGATCATTTTTGTCTGTGTTTTCCTACCAACCATAATTAAACATTCAGCTTATGTGTAATCGAAAGGCAAAATTACTACGATTTTCTATTAATGCCGAAGAATTATAAGGAGGAAATTATTGATATATTTATTATATTTTTTCTACAAAGGGTAGATTTTTGTATACTAAATGATATATTGTTATATATAATTGTGTACGAACAAAACAGCATTTCCTTATACGAGTCAAAGAAAGAAAACATTATGCAGCGGATTGTGGAAAAATGCAAAATAAACTGAACTTTTAAATCAAACAAAGTGTACTTTTACCTTGATTCTTTGTCACCATTCACATGACAACTCTTTTAATTAATACTTTGTAATTGTATAAGCAATTATGAAAAAAAAAAGAGTACTGCCAAAAGCTTCTGGTCTGGTTCCAAATGAAAATCATTGCTGTCACTTGATGGACATTTTTCATTATTTCTCACAATTGTTAAGATCAAACCACAAAAAGTATGAATCAATTAATATTATATTGCATCCCATGTGAACACAAAGTCTCTATTTATATGTTTTACATGTATTTTACTGTTCAAATGTCTTTGATGTCGAGAGGTTTGCAGGCTTTTAATAATAAAATTAATAATACATTTTATTTAAGGGGCCTTTCATGACACCGTACAATTTGTTAAATATTCTAAGAGGCAACAGAACATGATAAAAACACAAACATACCATCATGCAGAAGACAATTCAAGTGGACACAGATGATAGGGACAGGTTATTCAGGGGAAACAGATAAACAGATTTGTTGAAACGGTGTGGAGTGTTTGTTCTGTCACGCTCACCTGCTTGTTGGCCAGTACCATTAGAGGCAGGAGGGGCCGGGGGTCAGAGGTCAGCAGCTCATGGAGATGCTTCTTAGCGACGGGGAAGAGCTCTGGGTTGGAGGAGTCGACCACGAACACCAGCAGCAGCGCCTTGGACATGTACTTCTGCCAGTAGGGCCTCAGCTCCGCTTTACCGCCAACTGAAACACAGATGTAGTTCCGTCTAATCCAAAAATCAATATATCCAAAAGTAGCAATAAGCTTGAGTCCAACAAAAATACGTCTCAGGAAAGTTTGGTTGACTCTATACTTAAAGGTCACCCCATGCTATTTTTAGGTAATAGCATAGGTCTCAGATATATAAAAATATATAAAAAACATGTCTATGAAGTGTTTTCCTTAAAATACCAAACAGATCACCCATTCTAGCCATGCCTCATATCCCTCTATTTCACTTCCTGTTTCAAAAGTGCTGATTTGGGGTATAAAGCTTTAAAAAAATAATACATTGATAAAAAATAGAAAAGGAGGGGTCTGAGCTCATGCGGGACCCGGCAGCTACTGTCTAAACTAAATACTGCCGTGATGAAACGCCATATCATGGATTATCAAGGAGTGTTTCTGAAACAGTATGGAGCTCAAAGGCTTTCTCTCTTGCCGGTTATACCACAAGGTGAGTTCCTTTTTATTTCCTGCTTCTTCACACACATGCTCTCCAGTACAGGTTAGCTCTGAGTGTTAGCGATGCTAATGTAAACACCGACCATATTACGTCCAAAACAGTCGGGCATTGTTTCTGATAGCAACGTTTCTGATAGGGCCGTGGGTCCACATTTCAGATATTACGTCATATCGGACGCAAATCTGGATCAGCTCCGTTGTANCTCTCTCGCTCTCTCGCTCTCTCTCTCTCTCCTGACAGCCTGTCAGTATCGTCTCATGCAGCTCACTGATCCAGTAATGAGTGACCCGACAGTGAAGAATAAATATATGTATAACTAGTGTAGCTTGTTCCAGAGGTTGATCAAATAGCGAAGTGTGTTAGGTCTAACTCTTAGTGTGTTTTGCTCACCGGTCCGTCACAGCGGGCGGAGCTGCAGGATTTCTGCTTCACACACGTTGCATACCGCTATTTTACTGTCTTTTGCGGACACCTTAAAATATTGCCAGACCGGTGAAGCCATTTTGGCGAGCTTGTTTTGCGCAGAGAAAAGTGTAAAGTATTTTACGTCATGCGATCGGCATTTTTAGAGAGCCCCGATCGATCGGCAGAGAGTGAGTATCGGCCGATATCGATCGGAGCATCCCTAATTGATGTTATTGTTTATTGAATTGCATTTTAATCTCAGTTTCCACTTTGTCTTTGAAACAGTGGCCAGGGGAGCTTGCTGCTGCCTTTTATTTACTACCGATTCCTCACCCTCCGCTACACATCCAGAAGAAACCCATACTGCCGGTAAGATGATAAATAATGTTGTAACAAAGCTCAGGCCTTTATGAAAATGAGGACATAAAACAATCTGGTCATTATTGCAGAATCTTTTCAGTCCAGTTCTCGCAGTGTTTTGCTGCTTTTGACATTAAACATTTATTTTAAAGTATATTTCTTTACAAAACAACATTCAATTAAATCAGAAGATATGGCATGTTTGGAGCGATGGAAAGACCATTTGCATCCTTTGGAACCAAAAACGGAGCTGGACTGATACTATTGGCCAAGATTTGCGCATCGTTAGTACGGTATAGATGTTTCTGTTGACCAACATGTTATGAGAAATACTACTATTGAAATTGCCTTTTGAGCCAATTCAGAAACTGTCTCACAAATAGATTCTTTATCTCTTAGAGGTCATTATGTATAACTTTAAATCTAGTCGGGCTATAAGTCTGGCTCTGCTACATGTGTTGTGTGTGTGGAAAAGGCCTGGCAATGAATATTCTATATTTAACTGAACAATCAATAATTCAACATCTGTAACATTGCAATAAGCGGGTGGTTGTAGTTCTGAATCTCTCTGGAGCAACTGGAAGGGGAGTCTGCTCCAAAGGATTGATTGGCATGCTATTTAGCTTACAGAAATGCACTGTAGGCAAGGACTGAGATCAATCATAAGCAAGGGTATTAACGAAGGCGTTGACATTCGAGAAAAATAAAACTAATCTGGGTTTTTACGGTCATTAAAAACTTGGAAAAGTCATGGAAATTCAAAATGCTAATTCCAGGCCCTGGAAAAGTTATGGAAAACAAAAATGTTCCCAAAGTTTTGGAAAAGTCATGAAAATGTTGCCTCAAATATAATTTATATTTTATCGAATTGCTGAAATAGTAATACTATAATGATAATAAATACTGTATCGTATAGTAATGAAACGTAAAATGGCTTTTAACTGACGAGGTATTTTGCTGGTGAGAGATTTTAGTTGCTTTAGCGTGTAGAAGCTAGTAAGCCTATTTGATTTTATTTGTTTTAGATCGGCACAACATGTTTCATATGCAGACCTTATTTTCCATGTTAAAATAAACCATTTTCAGTGGTACCGCTGAGAGAATTCTTTTTTGGTCATGGAAAGTTAGGTAAAGGTCAGGGAGAAGTCATTGGTGAAAAAGTGTATGAACCCTGACTAATGTAGAAATGTAGGAAAGGACATCAAATGTTCTTTACAGGTGTTGGATTCAGAAATGTAAAATCTTTGAAGGACTTCCTGATTTGAGTATCTAACCCATCCGTGTCCTCCCCAGCACCTTGTTCACGGAGCTGCGGATCCTCATGGAGCATTTCATCATGAAGCCCGCCTGCCCCGCCTTCTTCAGGAAGGCGTGCCTCAGCAGCATCGCATTCATCAGCCGCCTCGCCCCCACGGGGGTCTGATCACGCTCCATAGAAGTTTTGTTTTCTTTATGTTTAGTTTTTCCACCATTTTAAGATGTGACTTAAACTTTGATGAGGACAGATGTTGCCATCAACAGAAGGAACTGTTTTTTGAATGTCAACTTTACACTCTTTGCTCCAACTTCTCTGTATGTTGGAGTACAGTTGAAGAGCAGCCAGTCATGCACTGAAGTCTCATGGTGATGTTCCTTTCCCCATCTTCTTAATGTGACCTCATTCAGGCGGTGGACACCCTCACTATGTTACATTCACTGGATGCAGCTCAGTTGTCATCAGCTGTAACGTGATGTACCGGCTGTTATCTTTGTTTCCTTTTTATGTCCTTATTTATTCATGAAAATCGCTTATTATATGATGAAACATTAACATTCTGAGATTAGTAACTTAAATTAAAATAAGCTTATACATTATTAATAATTTTTTTAATGATCATGATGTGCTTGGTTGAATGGAGTTTGTGTGCAGCTTCTACACGTTCCAATTTATTTTTGTATGTGCAAAGCATCCAAGGCTCTGATTTGACTAAATGCCTAACTTTAAGTGTATCCTATCAATGCCATCAACTAACTGTTTTTAACAACTTGAAAGTCTATGTAGGTATGATGTTGATTTGAGAAAACAAGATATCTGCTGTATTTTATAGAATATGTTAAGGTACCAAGCATTTTGCGGTAGGCTTGATAGATGAAAGGATTAGCACGATGCCTGTCATGTTTTGAATGCATTCTCACTTTGTTTCTCAGTCCGATATCTCGTTTCATATTGCTTCATTTATTTGTTGCTATGTAGTTTGTATTTTTTTTTTGCTTAACGCATGCTCTGATTTCTTTGTCTGCCATGTTAAATGTGTTCATTTGCCTACAGACAAACCACGTTTTTATGACAAGAATAAAATGATCTCTTAATTAAACCAATAAAATATTAAAGAACAGCAATGTGGTTTGAGGTTATACATTTGATCTGATATATTTGTTCTTAATCTTGTCCTAGTTATTGACACAAATTAAAATGTAAAAGGTGGTCAAAGAGTGCAGACCTTTGCCTAGGCTGTTTTAAATAAGAAAATGTCTATCCTAATATGGATATTTGGTAGTTTAACATGAGTTCTTTAAAAAAAAAGTGAATGATAAATGTTACTACTGACCCTTTTATGTATACATGTCAATGAGAAGGACAAACATGTGGAAACACCTCAATATAATGTAAGGTAGTGCAGGTAAATACCACATGTGACTGAACATAATTATAATAATAATAAAGGTTGATTTTAATAAATGCATAGTTGAATGAACGCATTTTTCAATGACATCAACAAGTGATTTGCAGCCTACAGAGTTTCTTTGCGTGTCCACCAATCAGAACACACCTTAAATGTCTTCTCATCCAATGGTATCACATTTTATCCACCAATCAGGACACAGGATGGATCTCTGTTCCATCCCATCCAATGGTATCACAGGTTCTTACAACTGCAGCGTTGCTATTGACAACGGGCGCTTCGTTTATCTGGTCCTGAACGTTTCTGCCTAACTTGAGCTAATATACGCATTAAAATAGGTTTAAATGCGTTTTAACAGCATTTAAAGACCACAGCCTACCTCAAATAGGTTGCCGTGGCTCGTTAGATTTAATGAAAGATTAAATCAGTTTAGCACAATAGAGAGTTTATGTGTTAATACATCGTGTTAGCCAATTAGCTTGCTAGCTAACAATAGCACGTCGAGCTAATCTCTTTGGATAATCTCACTTCACCAAAACCCACCACCCGTAATTCCGATGGAAATGTTATCGAGCCGTTTTAAATAGCTTTAGGGGGTTCCTGTGGTACTGGAAAACCTACCTGGAAGAATTGCAACACTTTTTTTCGCCACTAAGATAACACACAGTGGAGAAAGAAGATGGAGATCCACCTTAATCGAGTGGATTATATTCAGGTAACACAAAGTACAAAGACAATGGATTGGTTTTGTTCAGAGATTGAAGATGTACTCAAATGTTGTACTTCAGTAAACTACAACTACCAGAGTCTAGGAATACCAGAGGTCCTGCAGTCAAAATGTTACTCAAGTAAAAGTAAAAACGTATTGGCATCAAAATACTTAAAGTACCAAAAGAAAAAGTAGTCATTATGCAGATTGATCCATTACAGAATTATATGTATTATGTTTTGATTATAATTATTGAAGAACTAATGTGTTTATCACATGTTGTAAAGGTGCAGCTAATTTTCTATGCTGCAGGGTATCTTGTGGACTTAATCCAGGTGTGACTTTATTCAAGTATTGAATACATATAAATAATTAAAGGTGCTACACAAATGTATTGAAGTTAAAGTATAATATTGACCTCTGAACTGTTGTGGGGTAGAAGTACACAGAATTTTAAAAAAATGAAATACTAAGGTAAAGTACAAGTCCCTCAAAATGATACTTAAGCACAGTACTTAAGTAAATGTACTTAGTTACTAAGTTGGTTGCTTATTCATCTGTTACAATGTTAGTAGATGTACTGTCTATTCAGGGTTTCTGCCTCAAGTAAACTACTTTTGTTTTTACTTTTGTTGATTGCTATTTCCTCACAGGTTGGTGTGACATCCCAGAAAACTATGAGGCTGCTTCCAGCAGTGGGAAAAAAGGCGACCCAAAAGGTAATAATATATCAAAACAATGCATATGCAACATTATACCAAGATAAACAACTTGTAGCTGTGTATTGTGTTTGGATTAAACAGTTTAATTTAGTATATTTGAAAGAAGGAAGGGTCCAGATGTATACGTAAACATGATATATATAGTCCCTGGCTAAGGTATTACAATAAGCTTAGAGAGAGCATGAAGGTCAGAGGTTGTAAAAGGACACGTTATCAGAAGCAGAAGTGATATTTATACATGCTATTTGATTTAAACTACAGCCTGATTCTTGGTTGTTGTCCCTTTGTATCAGGTTGCTGTTGCTGATCATGATGGTGTCCTAACCTGTTTTGGGATGAAGAAGGGAGAAGCAGTGGTGAGTGTCCATTGTACGATTTTTCTTTTAGTCAGTTGGATTCTAACGTGTTGAATTTCAGTCTCTAATGGAAAGGAATCTGACTCTGTTTCAGCCTGTGTTCAAAACACTGCCAGGCCAGAAAATAACCAGGTTGGATCTTGGAGGAGCTGCGGGAACTCCACAGGAGAAGATCTTTGTCTGTTCTGGTTCTCAGGTCCGAGGATTCACCAAGAAAGGCAAACAGTTCCTCACCTTTGAAGCCAACCTCACTGAGAGCATTAACGCCATGTAGGAGCCACTTCTTTTACTCTTTTTTCATTAACTTGCACTGCTGGCTCGACAAATTCAGAACTGTGTGATTTACACCATTTTTAAGCCGTGATGGTTATCTCTTCTTCAGGCATGTCTCCGGCGCTGATCTTTTTGTGTGTGCGAGTTACATCTACAACCACTACTGTGACTGCAAGGACCAAGACTACTACCTCTCTGGAGACAAAATCAATGACATCACATGTCTATCCTCAGAAAACCTGACTCGCTTTGTCCCGATCCTGGCCTGCCAAGATCGGGTTCTCAGAGTCTTGCGGGTAAAATAAGATTAGATTCAGTCGATCAATGTTTATTTATATAGCCCAATATCAGAAATGTTACATTTGTCTCAGTGGACTTCACAGTTTGTACAGAATATCAGTATGACAACACGACACCCTCTGTCCTTAGACCCTCACATCGTACAAGGAAAAACTTACCAAGAAAACCCCACAGTTTAAAGGGGAACATGGGAGAAACCTCAGGGAGAGCAACAGAGGAGGGATCCCTCTCCCAGGACGGACAGACATGCAATAGATGCCGTGTGTAAATCAAAAGATAATACATTTACAACATAGGTAGACCAAATGTTTGGAAATGCATGTGTCTATAATAATAAGATGAATCCTCGAGGATGTCAACAATCCTGTGGGAGCCATCAGGGAAGTAGTATGATGAGAGTCAGGCAGGACCGCAGAGACAGGTTCAGCCAGGACTCGAAGTCCAGGACTCAGGATAGAGGATCCAGTGCTCAGGATCCAGGACACAGGACCACAGCAACAGGATCAGCCTCGACTCAGGATCCCGGCGTAGATAGACACCAAAAATAAATGTGGGGGAAGCTGGGTTATTGGGAACATGAGAGTACACAGGTACAAACAGACAGAAGGAAGAAGTAAGGTGTCCCCCGACAGTCTAAGCCTATAGAAGCAAAACCAACGTGTCTACGAGCATCCACTCCCTTAGTGGGGTTGAGGGAAAGGGGTAGCAAGTAAGAAGTAATTGATTGACTGTTTTGATTTTAATACCGTTAGTTTCACCTCAAACTAACAGACTCAATTTATTTGTATTTGTTTCCTGTAGGGATCAGAGCTTGCCTATGACATTGAAGTCCCTGGCCCTCCATCTCTCTTGGAACTTTACAATAAAGACGGAGGCAAGTGGACCTCTCCGTGTGCTAGAGCAAGTCAATACAAAGAATCGGATCAGGAATGATCTAACGTTACTTTAATGATTTCTCTACAGGGGAGGAAATCCTCTATGGAACTACAGATGGTAAAATAGGATTGGTGCACATTGGTGAGAGCTCAGCGTCGACCAAATGGGAGATAGACAACGACAAAAAGAAAGGAGGTGGGTAGTTCACAGGATCACACCCTTCAACAAATCACTAATATGTTAGATTGCCCCAACTTCGTAGTTTTACACTCTTTTGTCTCCATTAGGAATTCTTTGCATTGACACTTACGACATTGTGGACGACGGAGTGAATGACCTTCTGGTGGGCAGGGATGATGGCACAGTGGAGGTCTATGGGTTCGACAGCGCCAGTGAGCCCACGTTACGCTTCGAGCATGTGAGTTCATCTTTTATCAGTTTATAAAATTACAAATCCTGTATGTCTATCAGTGGATTTGTTTCCATGTACCCGGGTTTACTCATGTCAATGTTCCTTCTTACAACTACAAGGAAACAATAGTGTTATGTTGTTTTGCCCCTGCATTGATACCTTGCTTGGCTTTTCTTAGATGCCCCTACAATTATAATTTTTGTATTGCATGATTTATTCTGATCGATGATGGGCAAAGTTTCCTGTCTTTCCCGCCTTCAGGTGTTGTCCGAGAGCATCACCTCCATCCAGGGGGGCTGCGTAGGGAAAGAGACTTATGATGAGATCCTGACCACCACTTACACAGGTAAGATTACAAAAAGAAATAGATTATAAACAGCACCTAGTAAAAGGCTTCTCTAAGAAGAATATGTGTTTTTGTCCTGCTTGTGCTAACGGTAAAACTGTCTGACTTGTAGTGTGAGCTTCTTAAAACCCAACCATTATTGTAAAGTAGTTAAAGGAGATCTGACATGCAGCCTATTCCACTCTCTTTCAGGTTGGGTGACTGGTTTAACAACTGAGCCGCAGAAGGCTGAGGCCGGCCCTGGAGACGAGATAAGAATGAGCAAGGAGGTCCAGTCCAAAGTAGAAGCACTCAGGTACCAAGTCTGTTCTCGTGTCTTTTTTAACGCATGTTTTGAGGTGTGGTTGTTTGCTGTGGAGGGGCAGCAACAACATGTATGTTTACCTTAACGTAAAACAGACGGGTAGATGACGCGGTTACCAAGGCTCTCTTCAAGGCCTCTGGACTTCTCCTCAAAAACAGTCATTTCCCCTTTCAGCACAACATTAGAGTGGCTACCAAATTGGCGTCTGAAGGAAACTACAGTGACCAAATATTTTAAATATAGTGTACACTTAAACCAGTATTTATTCTTTTAGGTGGCTAGAATAAGTTTGCGTTTGCCCTCATCCACAGCAGATCATTGCTATACCTCCGTGTCGGTACTCCACTTTAAGTGTTTGACTTACTGTATAATAGTTTGAGTAAGACTGCTCATATTGTTCTGTTGCAGGTCTGAGCTGGAGCAGCTGCAGGTGAAAGTCCTGCAGGGCCGGGAGCAGTACCAGCAGACGTCTCAGTCCAGCACCGCCGTCTCTGCTGTGCCCGTCTTCAGCATCAACGACAAGTTCACCCTCTGCCAGGACGACGCCAGCTACACTCTCATGCTGGAGGTGCAGACCGCCATCGACAACCTGCTGCTCCAGGTGTGCTCATTAAAAAAAGTCCCTGAGGGTTGCGACCTCTGGTGCCTAGAGACTGTCCTCGTTATAAATCCTGCTCTCGATCCCCTGTTGCACACATAAACATACCAAATGTAACTTAACCATGAATATTCTGTGCAGAGCGACGTCCCTATAGACC